AAAGCCTCTGGTCACTTTCAGTTTCCACAGCTGGCACCAAACTGTCCTGCACGCACACGGCACCGCATGCCCTCCGGCACAGCGCCCAGGACTGGGTTTGCCCACACCCCTGCCGCATGGGGGACCCACGCTTCCCTGAGGTGAATGTGGTGGGAGAGAAGGTGACTGGGTCAGTGTGTGGTCTTCGGGGACCCTGAGCATCTTCTCGGGGCCCCAAGCCCGCTGCCAGCTGTGCTCCGTGGCTTCAATCAGCCGGGGGCGCGGGTGCAACAGGCAGAGCAGATGTGGTCCGTTCGCCGACCTGCTGCGAGCTGGGCAGCTCGGCTCCTGGCTGCATGGCCTGCGGGCGTGTGTGTGTGTGTGTGTGTGTGGTGTGTGTGTGGTGTGTGTGTGTGTGTGTGGTGTGTGTGTGTGGGATGTGTGTGTGTGTGGTGTGTGTGTGTGTGGTGTGTGTGTGGTGTGTGTGTGTGTGTGTGTGGTGTGTGTGTGTGTAGTGTGTGTGTGTGTGTGTGGTGTGTGTGTGGTGTGTGTGTGTGTGTGTGTGTGTGTGTGTGTGTGTGGTGTGTGTGTGTGTGGTGTGTGTGTGTGTGTGTGTGTGTGTTCACTGTGACAGGACGATTAACCAGCTTCTCATTAGGAAGTGGACGCCTCTGTCTTGCCCTGAGGGGAACCCAGCCCCTTGGCCCCGGCGCTCCTCGGCCTGGAGGCCCGGAGGTCTGAGCGGAGCCGGGCTCTGCTCCGAGGACAGCTGCCCTCTGCCCGGCTGTCCGGCACACGCCTGCCTCCAGCCACGAGCCTCCCTCCGCCCGGGGATCCGGCGGGGGGACTGGGGCAGGTCCCGGGGGGCTGGGGAGCTTGGACCTGGGGTCAGACAAGCCCGGGTTTGAGTCCATCTCTGCTGCTCCCTTTAGTGTGATCTGGGCGGCCCTTTGGCCTCCCTGGGCCTCAAAGGCGCACCTGTGAATGGGGTAAGAGTGACTTCATAGGTCGCTGTACGTTTTTTTCTGAGTGAGTGTATACCAATGTGTGGAGGAGAACTGGGGGCTTCGTAGATATTAAAACAATGGTAGCTGCCATCATCACCATCACCACTCCCATCTCCACCCCCCTCACCATCACCATCACCATCACCACCACCATCACCACCATTGCCACCATCATCATCATCACCCCCATCACCATCACCATCTCCATCTCCATCTCCACCATTACCACCCCACTCCCCCCCTCACCACCCTCCTCACCATCACCATCACCACCATCACCATCATCACCACCATTGCCACCATCACCATCATCACCCCCATCACTATCTCCATCTCCATCTCCACCATTACCACCCCCACCTCACCCCCCTTACCCCCCTCCTCACCATCACCATCACCACCACCATCACCACCATCACCATCACCATCACCACCATCACCACCAGTCTATAGCTTGTGGCAAAGGGCACAGGCTTTGGAGCCAAACGGGGGCGCTGCTCTGAGTCGGGGAGACAGGTGTGTGTATGCGGAAAGGGGGCCGTTGAGGATCCTGGACGAAGGTGAGGTCACACGGGAGTGGAGCCGGCCAGTCTGCCCGACGGCCTTGTAAGAAGCGAAGAGACGGCGGCGGCGCAGACCCAGGGAGAGGGAGGCCCTGTGACACGGGCAGGGCTGCAGGGGTGATGGGTCTGCAAGTCCGGGAACAGCGGCCTTGCCGAGGAGAACCGGGACCAGAACCAGCTCCCTGTGGCCCTTCTTGACCCTCCAACAGCCTCCGGTCCTCAGCTCCCCAGCAGGAAGCACAGGGGCGGTAGGAAAAGGTGGGGGAGGGTGTCCTTCCAACTGGAGGACGTTGCATTGATGATAACCCACAGCCCCAGCTCCATCTCTCAGAGCGGGAGAACAGCTCCAGCGCTGCGAGCGGGTGGGACAGGCTGACATGGATGACAGCTCATGACACGGGGCTCAGGGCCCACAGTCACAGCCGCCCGCGGTGCCCACCCCCTGGGCAGCCCCCCAGCCATCACTGCTGAGTCCTGAGCAGGGTCACGTGAGCAAAACCGGGCACCAGGGTGGCGGCTCCACCTTGGCAGGTAGACGGACAGAGGCGGGACCATCGGGAAGGGGGGACAGGAACGAGGTGACTGCGTTTGCAACCAGAGTCTTGATGAACGGCCTTGCCTCTGACCCAGGCTTTCTGCTCACGGGCCTCCAGCGGGGAACGGGCCGGCGCTCACACAGAGGCACGGGAGGCCGCTCGGAGCGACGTCGTTCGTGATAAAAGTTGGCGAGAAGACAAGGTGGGATTAGGCAAGCCCGCCATCGGATGCTCACACAAAGGAAGGCCTTGGCAGGCGTCACAGGTGGTTCTGAGCCGAGGATTGGCCTCCCGGAAAGATGGTCACAAGATGCTGTTCAGGGAAAGAAAAAAAGAATTTAAAAAAAGTTAAAAATAGTATGTTGTTTCCATTTCCATAGAAATTCTGCCTCCAGGGGTCTGCATGTAGGTAAGGGATACGTTTACAAATAAGCATCTGAGCTTGGAAGGTTAGATTGGAAATGGGAAGGACAGTTTCTGGCTAGTGGGATTCCCTGTGTGGCTGCCCGTCCGGAAGCTCAGTGTCCAGGTTACAGCGGGAGGTGTCAGGAGCTCAGACTCCGGAGCTGTGCAGAGCTAGACGCCCATCCCGGCTCGGCCGCTTCCCAGCTGTGTGTCTTTGGGCAGGCACTTACCCTCTCTGTGCTTCCGTTTTCTCCTCTGAGCATTGGACCCGGGGTCCCAGGGAGGACTCGGTGAGCTCATACTCAGCAAGCACCTCCGCCCGTGGCCTGGTACTTAGCAAGTGCACAGTCAATGTGTCACCAGTGTCATGCAATGTGGACTTAACACGCATGTGTATTATTACGTCATACAGAAATACCAGAGGTTGAGTCAAATGGTTGCTTTTCTCGCGCTCCGCTCCCTGGCCTGGTTCTCAGCGGGGATGCTATGCTGCAGAGGGGGAGACTGAGGCCAGGGCCGGTGAAGTAAGCTCTGAGAGGCCCCGTGGCCGGCACAGGATGGAGCCAGGAGTCCAGGCAGCTCCGCCTGAGGTCAAGGGCCGAGAGCTTGGCGGCAGGCATTGCTGCAGAGTTCGAGGCGGGCGGGGGGCAGAGGGGCCAGGGAAGGCTCGGTGAGGTCCAGAGCAGGCAGAAAGGGGGTGCTGGGCCTGATGGGTACATGCAGAGCACAGGGGCCTTGGGGGTGACTCTTAGAGGGTAAAGCTGACGAGCTGCAGGCTAGACGCCTCCTCAATTGTGGACGGATGCTGGGTAATTCCCCCCGCTGCCTTCTGAGGCCTGCTGACCAGTTAATAAGTGTGGGAACTTGGGGGAGACTGGACTTTAGAATTCTTAAACTAAAAAACAGTCCATTACTAGAGTTCACCAAGGATTCAAATGAACAATTAGAATTTTTTTTTTTAAATTGATTTCAGAGAGGAAGGGACAGGGAGGGAGAAAAGTAAGAAGGGAAGGAGGGAGGGAGGGAGAGAGAGTGGGAGAAATACCAATGACAAAGAATCATTGAGCAGCTGCCTTCTGCACTCCCCCTGCCTGGGATCAAGCCCGCAACCAGGGCACGTGCCCTGGCTGGGAATGGAACCGTGACCTCCTGATTCCTATGCTGATGCTCAATCACTGAGCCACACCGGCCAGGCGACAATTTCCCCCAGAAATCAGATGTCTGAAAAACTTTGCAAACCCCTGTCATCCATATGGCCAACACGGCCATTGGAATTTAGTCCTGCTTCTGTGTCTTTCTATGACTGCCTTGGGGGGGTGGGTGTTCACTAGGAGACATTTCAAATACAGAGTAAGCAGCATATAATGAATTCCCACATCCTCATCGCCCCGAATCACTGAGTATAAGGGAAACGCTGCCCTCCTCCACCCGCTACCCACCCCCCTCACCCGGGTTCATTTTATAGTTCGTTCTTACGAGGTGACATTTACATACATTGAAATGCACAAGTCTTCGCTTCCCATTCTGTCACCGATACAGCCGGGGAACCCACACTCCGATCACAATATAGAATGCCTCCCTGGCCCCCCCGACACCCTGTCCTGATCTCTTCACCTCAGGTGACTCTGCCTGCTCCAGAACTTTCTATAAATGGCACCGTGCAGTGTGCACTCGTGTGCCTGGCTTCTCTCTTGCAGCGGGGTGGCTGGGAGGTTCCCGGGCGGCTCCTGCACGGGGAGCTCACTCGCTGTCCTCGGGGCCGTATGTGATGATGTGAACGCACCGAAGTTTGTTTATTCGCTCACTGGTGGCGGCCGGCTGGCTCCTGTCCAGTCGGGGCTTTGGGGAGACCAGCTGCCGCGAACACTTGAGCACACGTCTGCGGACACGTGTTCTCACGTCTCCCGGGCAAATACCTGGAACAGAGGGACTGGGCTGTGCGCAGGTGCACGGTGAACGTCTCGGCGATTTCCCTGTCTCCCCAGGGGGCTGGCCATCCTGCGTTGCCCCGGCGGTGGGTGCAGGCCCCGCTGGCTCCGTGTCCTCCCGGCGTCGGGGGTCGGCGACCTTGGTGGCCGCGTTCTGCTCTGTTTAAATGAGCTAACACACGGGCGGGGTTTCTGGCAGATGCTCCCTCCCCTGGCCGATCTGCTGGGAGGCTGCTGGGAGGTCCGAAACATTATGTGCTCCCTTCTGTCTCTTGGTCTTCCCAGAATTCCTTTCCCTCTGGCGATGAGCGAGGTTCCTGGGGGAGTTGGGGGTCACCAAAGATGGGGCCCTGGGCCTCAACTCCGCACTCTCTCCTGGCACTCCGGGCTGCTTGGAGCACGCAGGGGCCCGAATGGCCTGGCCCCCCACGGGGCCTGGAAGCTGCGCCTCACCACGGGGGGCGCCCTCACTACGTCCCGCTTTGCAGGGGGGCGGGAGTCTCTGAGGCCCAGACCTCGGCCCCTCTCACCACGGGGGGCGCGTCGTGGAACTGCTGCCCTCCGCCCTTCTCTCCCCTGCAGACGTTGGCCCCGTGACCCTCACCGAGGACCCCGCGGTGTTCCAGCGGGCGCTGAGAGAACTCTACGTGCAGGTGGGCTGCCCCGTCCCGGCTGCTGGCTCTCCTGGCGCCTTTCTTCCAGGCCACGCCCCGGGCCACGGTCTTTGTGCCATGGGGCCTGCCCCGTGTGCCTCGAGGGTCCTTCCTCTTATTCAGTGACCAGGTGCCTGCAGGAGGAGGCCCTGAGCCTGGCGCATAGTAGGTGCTTGTGGTTCAGTGAATGGACAGAGGGCTGGCAGGAGGGGTGGTAGCTGAGAGGATCCGAAAGGCTCCAGTTCAGGCCCCAAACCCAGGCTCCAGACTGGGCAGGTGCCCCGTGGCCGCCTGAGCTTCTGCGCTGCATTGCACACCCTGGTTCAGCTTCTGTCCAGCATCCTACCCCCTAGAGACAAGCAGTTTCCTGAAGGCAGGGAGCCCAGGGCCCAGAACAGGGACAGACAGAGAGGGTGACGGGGTGAATGTGTGAGCCCGGAGAGAGGCATTTGCTGCAAAGGAACCACGTGCAGACCTGCTGCTGGGCTGGGCTGCAGACCCGGGTAGCACAGGGCGGGCTCCCTGCCTTCAGGGAGAGCGCCCGCTGGTGGCAGGGCGGGGAGGGTGTGTGTGTGTGTGTGTGTGTGTGTGTGTGTGTGTGCGTGCACGCACTGGCACATTTGGGATGCATCCAGGGCAGGTTGCACAGAGAATTTAGGGAGACAGCTTTGAGTGCTTTCCCAGTGCCCACCTGTCCTCCTCCTGGCCCCTCTCCACCCCTCAGCCCTACAAGCCTTGGCTGACACGGGGCTCCTCTGGGGCCTCTATCGGACGTCCCTGGGGCTCCCTCCCTCCGCCCCCACTTGTAACACTCATCACGGTGGTAATTAAATCATCGTGTTGAGCTTATTGATGTGGCGTCTGCCGCCCACACCCGAGCCCGTGGGAGGGCCCGTCCGGCCTGCACAGCTGAGCGAACGAGTGACGCTGAGCATCTAAACGTAACGCCCGCGGGTGCTGCGCTGTGTGTCAGGGTGGGGACCGGCCGGGGCCTGGCCTGACCCCTGCCTGCCCACCCCCCTTCCTCTTGGAGGTGCTCCTAGTTGGACCCCTCGGCGAGGCGGGCCGCGTGCTGACCCGCCCCGTCCCGCAGGGAGGCGGCGACTGCCCCGAGACGAGCGTGGGCGCCATCATGGCCGCCGTGGAGGTGTCCCACCCCGGCTCCTTCATCTTCGTCTTCTCGGACGCCCGGGCCAAGGACTTCCACAGGAAGGAGGAGCTGCTGCGGCTGCTGCAGCTCAGACAGTCGCAGGTGAGCCACCGCCCGGGGGTGGGGGGGTGGGGGGTGGGGGGTGGGGACTCGGGGAAGCTGGGGCTCCAGCGGGCGAATCCTGAGCCCCGAGGACGATGGCAAATCCGGGTGCTTCTCGTCCGCCCCCCGGGCCCAGCCCCCGCCAGCCCCGCCGGCCAACCCCCAGGCCCCGCTGGTCCGGCGAATTCCAATGTGCGCTCCTGCTCAGGTCCCGCCCGCCCGCCAGGCCCGCGCCTCCCTGGTGAGGCCTGTCCTGGACCCGGCCCTCCCCGCTCTCGCCTTCCACGCCCTGGGCACCCGCACTTCCGTCTGCCTCCCGGCGCTGCCCCTGTGCCCGTCTCTGCCTGGGCGCATCGCCCTTTTTCCTTTGTCTCGGGGCCCGGAAGCCAGCGGGGGCCTGGCTGGTGAGGGGGGGGGGGCGGGATGTGTGGGGGCACAGAGGCTGCTGTTGGACATCCGGGCCTGGGACAGCTCCTTTGTCCCATCGAGGACAAGCTCGGTTCTAATTCTCCTCCTCCTCCTCCTCCTCCTTCTTCTTCTTCTTAAATAACAAAGGCTGCTGCTTCCTTTATTATTATTTTTAAATGTATTTTATTGATTTCTCACAGAGAGGAAGGGAGAGGGACAGAGAGCTAGAAACATCGATGAGAGAGAAACATCGACCAGCTGCCTCCTGCACCCCCCCCCCCCCCCCCCGGGGATGTGCCTGCAACCAATGTACATGCTGTTGACCAGAATCGAACCTGGGACCCTTCAGTCCATAGACCGGTGCTCTTATCCACTGAGCCAAACTGGTCTTGGCCAAGCTCGGTTCTCCTGGCTCTGCAGCCTCCGGGGCCCTCGGAGCGGAGTCCATGCCCATGCGCTTCCTTGTAAGCTTAGTACCGCTCCCCTGTATGGAGCAGCTTCGCCTGCCCAGCCCTGCGCTGACCCTTGACCCTCTGCACGCTGCCGCCGCCCTGCTGGCCTCTGCTGTTCCTGCAGTGTCCCTGTCTCCCCAGTGCCAGTCATGATCCCCTCAGGGCGGGTGCTCTTCCCCCACCCTGAGCCCAGAGAGAGGACAGGGCGCACCCCGCCCCCCCCTGCCCCGTCCCGGGCCTTCCCGCCGGAGGACGGTGGCGGGAGCCCTGCACGTCCCTCCTCCAGGTGGTGTTCGTGCTGACGGGGGACTGCGGCGACCGCACGCACCCTGGCTACCTGGCCTACGAGGAGATCGCCGCCACCAGCTCCGGGCAGGTGTTCCACCTGGACAAGCAGCAGGTGACCGAGGTGAGCCTCCCCTGGCGTCCGGCATCTCCGGGCGGCGCTGCCGGTCGGCAGGTCGCCATCCGAGGTGGGCGGTGCTGAGTGGGGGGCTGGCCACGGTCCGAGTCCCTCAGGTCGGCCCTGACCAGCTGTCTGCGCCCTTGTCTTGTTCTTGGCCCTGTGCCTGCCTTCCTGCCCCCCGGGCTCCAGCGGCCATACAGGGATCCCCCTCTTCCCGCTCCGCCCCGCCCCACAAGGCCACTCCTTCCCAGGAGCCAGAGGGTCCTCCCAGGGACCTGCCTGCCGCTCCCTGGGAAGAGCAGGGCACTCCCTTCTGGGTGTATGTCCTGCCCTGGCTCCCCTCCCGCTGCCGGGAGCTCACGGAGCAGAGCTGGGAAGGGGCGCGCACGCATCCCGCTGGGTTTGTCGAAAGCAGACCCCCCACACAGGCCCTCCCGCCGTCCCCCATGGAGGCCAGAGCTTGTCTGACCTCTGCCTCTCGGATCCCTCACCTCCGTTCTCCCTTCTGCCCGCTGCCGCCGCCCTGCTGGCCTCTGCCGTTCCTGCAGTGTCCCGGTCTCCCCTGCCCCAGGGCCTTTGCTGATGCCCCGTGTGGCTATGCATCCCTGTAATTTTATTTATTTTTTAAAATATATTTTATTGATTTTTTTACAGAGTGAAAGAGAGGGGGATAGAGAGTTAGAAACATCGATGAGAGAGAAATCATCGATCAGCTGCCTCTTGCACACCCCCTACTGGGGATGTGCCCGCAACCAAGGCACATGCCCTTGACGGGAATCGAACCTGGGACCCTTCAGACTGCAGGCCAATGCTCTATCCACTGAGCCAAACCGGTTTCGGCTGCATCTCTGTGATTTTACAGCCGTGAGCTCCCTGAGGCTGAGCCGGCGCTACTGTATCCCAGCACCTCGCCCAGCCGCCGGCACGGAGCAGGTGCCTGGTGAACAGCCGGGGAGCGGACAGACGGGGTCCCCTGTGCCTGAGGCCCTGGGAGGAGGAGGCAGGGAGGCCCGGCCCGGAGGCCGTCCCGGCTGCTGCTGGAGAGGGTTTCCCGGTTTGTATGTTTATGTTCTGCGGAGGACGGGCCAGGCGGCTCGGATTAGCGGTCTTAACTCCCTGTTGGCAGATGGCGTTTGTGGTTCTCGGTGACACGTTAGGCTGTGTTTTTGGCTTGTCCGTCTCTTTTGGCACGGAGCCGGCCACGTCGGGGTGGAAGGCATTTCGCAGTGGGGGATGGCGTGGTCCTGTCCTTTTTTTTGGAGGGGGGCAGGAGACTGGCTTGGGCGATTGCAGGGGAACTGGGTTCCTGCCAGGGCCACAGGCGGGTGGGCGGGTTCGGCTTGCCCGGGTGTGGGGCTGGGACCTCTGTTCTTTCCCTTGAGGCAGGGAAGCTGGGCGAATCCACCCGCTCGTGGCCATGGTGCCAGGTTCCTGCCTGGGAGCCTGGCTGGCAGCGCTCGGTGGGACCGCCGACGGCTGGGATTAGCCGCCTCCGGGTAGGGGCCTGGATCCCTCTCCTTCCTGGACACACAGCTCTGCCGTTTGTCAGCTTAATGCCTTGGACCCGGCTCCTTCCAGATGTTCCCAGACATTCGGCAAGCCTGGGAACGCGGCCGGGCCCCAGGGCTGCGGTCATCCTGCCAGGGGGAGTGGGCCCGGCCCGGCCAAGGCGCTTCCCTGGGAGGAGGCCTCAGAAGCCTCAGCGGGCCCTGTGCCAGCGTGCGTGTGTCCTCTCACCGCTCCTAGAGCAGGCCCGCGCACGCAGGCTCACTGCACACCTGCTGTGGGCCGGGGCACCGGGTGCCGGGCACAGAGGGATGCTGCGTCTGGCGGAGGTGCCAGTGCTTTTGAGGTTGGCCTCACGGAGCCAGGGTCCCCTCCTTTGCCATCTGTAGCAGACCGGGGAGGCAGGCCACACGGCCCCAGGGCCTGTGCTGAGGTAGGCAGCTCTGATGGAGACTGAGCTGGGTCCCCAGCACAGCTGTGCACAGCCTTCCTACCTGCTCTGCACACGGGGTCAGAATGTGCGGGCAGCTCCCGTCAGCCTGCAGCCCGCCTGAGAACTGGGAAGTCCTGAGCCGGGGGACCCAGGCCCTCCCCCTGGCTGGCAGCAGCAGGTACAGATATGGGAAGTGCCCAGGTTCCGTGCATCCGCTCGGCCAGGGGAGAGGTGAAGGGCCTTCGGGGACAGTGAGGGGGGGGTGGGAGGTCCATCCCAGGTGGTTCTGATTAGCAGACCAGGAGGTACGGGCCCGGAGATGACTTCATCCTGGACCCTTCCCAGGGGAGGGGGGGGGTGTCGGGGCCACGCATTGGCTCCGACTCCTGCCGGGCACCCGTGGGCAGCGTGCCCGGAGCACAGAGTCAGCCTCTCTGAGCCCCCGAGTCCTTGCAAGCACAGCGGCTCCGTGAGAGTTTCCACCCCGTGAGACGGCCGTGGCAGTGAGGGTGCGAGGCAGCTTCGCGTGGGAAGCCCTGGGCGCCCAGCCCGGCCGCGGGTGCCCTTGGCCAGGGTGGCGACGGCTGTGACCGCAGCCTGTGCTTTGGGGTGCAGCCCAGAGTGCACCCCCGGCCGCAGGGAGGCCAAGGTCCTTGAGAAAGCAGGGTCTGGAACAGGTGGCCGGGGTGCCCAGCTGGCAGGGGCTAGAACTCTCTTCATCCATGCCCACGAGCTTCCTGGATGGGGCCCTCAGTTCTCCCGTCTGTGGCTCGGAGGCCCATGGGGGCCCTGGCTTCCTCTCTCTGCTTCTTCAGCGACCTTGGCTGTCAAGTGTGGTGGGAAGAGCCTGGGGGGCAGGGAGAGAAGGGGATGGTCGATCTGCCTGGAAGGGCTGACCGGCAGCCATCTGGCCAAGGGAGCGAGCCCAGATTCTTTCACTCCTTCCCCATCAGTCACAGGGTCCCGCTAACATCTGGAAGCCATTGCTTTCACCAAATAAACACCAAGCTTGCTAGATGCAGGCTGTCTTCTCGGAAGGCTCCCTGGACTCCACTCTGGGCCCCAGGGGCATCGCCAGGGCCAGAAGGCCTTGCCTCTAGGCCTGACCTGATTATGGGCAAGAGGGTCAGCCCAGCCCCCCCCACCCCCACTCTTCCCCAGCTCCTGAGCGGTGATGGGCTTACAGGGCAGGCCCCGTGGGCCGGCCGCCTCCTGGCGAGGTCACTGACATTCTATCCCGTCTCAGCCCTCCCCGAGGCTCAGTAGCCTCAGCTCCTGGGCCTCTTCCCCGAGCAGAACGTTCGAGAACGAGCTTACAGTAACAGTTGCAACACACAGTAGCGGTGTGACTTGTCTGGGTAATTGTCCACGGTGCTGCCACCTCCTCCTGGCGGCTCTGCTAGGTTCTGATTCCCGCCCCCCCCCCGACCCCTGACGAGGCCTGGCCGGGGGGAGCGGGGAAGGCGGGGGTCCCAGCGCCGATCCTCCGCAGCTGGGGGCGTGGCCTCCCTCTCCTCGCCAGCTTCTGTCCAGCTGGGAGCCTTGGCCGCCTTCCGCCCAGCCCGCCCCCGCACGGATGAAGGATGGTGGTGAAGACAGGTGGGACCTTTTCAAGAGAAACATGGCTTCGAAGGCCAGGCAAAACAGAAGATGGAGTGGTTCCAGGCCTGGAAACAGATGCTTCTCCAGACCACGGCATTCTTATCCCGTGCTAACTTAAATGTAGCTGTAAAAATCGACGCACACAGGTTCCAGCGCAGTCTCAACAAATCATATACGTTTTCTATAATAAATCTTGGGCCATTCTTCCAGTTCCTTGCCTTGCCTTGGAAGATCGCGTGGGAGGCAGAGCTAACGGTGGGTGGTTTAGAGCAAGCATGGGCAATAGACAGCATGCGAGACACCGCTGTCTGCTGTCATACCCATGGCAGACATTGCTAATCAATCACAGAGCTGTTTAAAAGGGAGGCAGAACGTGGCTTCTCATTTTTTCTTCAAACTCTATTCCAGGAAGCCAAGCAACAGGATACAGCTATTTGTTGCTCAGATATGCACCGAGTGGCCAGATTATGATGATCTCTGAACGCATAATAAGCTCGCCACTTAGTGTATATCCTATATAATAAATGGCTAATATGCAAATTATACCCTTAACCAGGAGTTCGACCAGCAGGTAGGCTGGCCAGCTGCCCATGTCTCCTCCCCCTGGCCAGGCTAGCCACACCCACCCATGCACAAATTCATGCACTGGGCCTCTAAAATACACACACACACACACACACACACACACACACACACACACACTGAGTGGCCATATTATTATGCGTTCAGAGATCATAATAATATGGCCACTCAGTGTATATACCACAGGGTGGGGCAAAAGTAGGTTTACAGTTGTTGGTGTGGAAAATTATACCATGTGTATTCTTTATAAGTGACTTTTCTTTAATAAATCACAGCCCTGCCTGGTGTGGTTCAGTTGGTTGGGCATCGTTGCACAGAAGAGTTGCTGGTTTGATTCCCAGTCAGGGTACACGCTCAAGTTTGGCACTTGATCCCTGATAAGGGGCAGCCGATCGATATTTCTCTCTCCTTCTCCTTTTCTCTTTAAAAATCAATCCCTCTGCCAGTTTGGCTTGGTGGATAGAATGTCAACCTGCTGACAGAAGGGTCCCAGGTTTGATTCTGGTGAACGGCACATGCCTGGGTTGCTCAGGCCAATGTGCAGAAGGCAGCCAATCAATGATTCCCTCTCATCACTGATGTTTCTAGCTCTCTCTTCCTCTCCTTTCCTCTCTAAAATAAAAATATTTATTTTTAAAAATCAATAAAAAGTTTTTTTTAAAAATTACTGTGAAAAATGTCAAAGATACAGAAAAATAAAAAGACCAGAGGTACCAGCTAGATCCAGCAATTAACATTTTAGCTCCACCTGCTTCATTTCTCTGTATACTTCCTGCTAAAATAATAAACAATCCGACATGGATTTTTTAAAAAAACAGTCTACAATATTATCACATTCACAGAACTTTGCTGGTATCATCTGATGTTGAGTCCACATTCACATTTCCCTCAGAATGTCTTTTTTGCTGTTGTTAATCTTCACTCGATATTTTCCCATTGATTTTTGATGAGGGAAATAGCGATGTGACAGAAGCACATCGATTGGTTGCCTCCTGCACGTGCCCGACCAGGGCTCGGGCCGGGGAGGAGCCTGCAACCAAGGTGTGCACCCTTGACCGGAATTGAACTCGAAACCCTGTGGTCTGCAGCCCGATGCTCTGCCCACTGAGCCAAACTGGCTAGGAGGGCCCTCAGAATGTCTTTATGACCGTTTGTGTCCAATGGGACTTAATCACGGCGGTGCATATTGTCTGACTGTTATGTCTCCCGAGCCCTCCTACACTTGGAGCAGGCTTCCCTTCTGCACAGGCCACCGGCTTGTCCCGTGTTCCAGGTCCAGCTGATGGCCTCTGTATGGCGATCCCTCGGTCTCCTCTAGTTCCCCTACACCGGGGTGAGCGCTGCATGACTGTCAGACGGAGGAGAGTGTGTTTCATGGCTGGTGCTGTGTGTATTCCTGTTGCATCACAGGGCAGGCGGGTAATGTCTGACGGTGCTCCGTTCCGGGAGCGGAGGGTGCTGACAGCCAGCTCTTCGCATCGAGAGCCGTGCGCTCCCCGTGTGGCCCAGGTGGTCTGCGGGTGACGCTGGGCTCCGTGCGGACATCCAGTTCCCGCCGACCTCTCCTCCCCGGGGTGAGCCTCCGCGGAGGATGCGCGCCCGGAACACTGATCTCATTGGGGGCTGCAACGTGATGGTTTCCTAATTGCATCATCCCGTCCGCATTCCCCAGCGGGCGTTCCTCCAGGGAGAACGGCCTTCGCTCAGCGGGAGGGAGGGTTCGCGGTCTGGAGCCGGTGCCTATGGAAAGGGCAGGGACCACACTGCGCTCGTTCTCTGTCGCGGAGAAGTCACCCTCACTGGTGACAAGGGAGGTCTTACTGTTTTGAATCTGCACTTCTTTTTGGAGTATTGTTATGGGCACGTGGGTTCCACAATCCGGAGTGCTTTGATCGATGACAGTTTATCTGGGGCTCAGAGGGTTTGAAGTTTAGCTTCTGCAGGCCGGTGGCCGTGTCCTCTGGGTGTGTCCGTTTTGGCTTCGAGTTGTCGGCTGCCCCAGGTTTGCATTGTAAATTGCCTGCCCCAGACTCAGAATCAGCCATCTCTCCAAGGACCCCTGGTTCGGAATGGTACTAGGTTCTAGTTCACTCGGAGAGGATTTTATATGTGTGTACACACACACACACACACACACACACACACACACACACACACAATGTGGTCAGCAAACTGTGGCTCACGAGCCACGTATAGTTCTTTGGCCCCTTGAGTGTGGCTCTTCCACAAAATTACCACGGCCTGAGTGAGTCTATTTTGAAAAAGTGGCGTTAGAAGAAGTTTAAGTTTAAAATCTGGCTCTCCAAAGAAATGTCCATCGTTGTGCTGTTGGTATTCGGCTCTGTGTACTCGTGAGTTTGCCGACCACTGGTCTGGGGCAAGATTCCAGATCTGCAGGGTTCATCTTTGTGAGGAGGCATCAGGAGGGCTGCCTGGAGGAGGTGATGGGGCCATAGAAGTTGGCCAGGGGGAGGAGGAGGGAAGAGTCTTCCCAGCAGAAGGGCCCTCCTTGCTCCTTCCCTCCGAGCTGAGTCCTCTGGGTGCCTCAGTACAGGCTGGGGGTGAGGGTAATGCCCTGTGAATTGGTGGGGCTCAGGAGGGCGTGGGATAGCCTCCAGATGACATGGAACGCCTGTATGCTGCCCGAAACCCACGGGGAAGCCAGACTCTGCACACGGCCGGCAGCCTGCTAAGGGCCCGCCGCCAGACCCATGCAGGACAAGGTAACCTGCTGGGGTCAGCTCCTCCCACTGCCTCCCAGGTGCTGAAGTGGGTGGAGTCGGCGATCCAGGCCTCCAAGGTGCACCTGCTGTCCACGGACCACGAGGAAGCGGGGGAGCACACGTGGAGGATCCCCTTCGACCCCAGCCTGAAGGAGGTCACCATCTCCCTGAGTGGCCCTGGCCCCGAGATCGAAGTCCGAGACCCGCTGGGTATGTGTGCCCTCCGCTTTGGCCCCGAGACTAAGCTGGGAGTCGGGATGAGACAAAGAGAGAGACTCCTGGACACAAGTCTCCGGGGGAAAGGAGGGTGGTGGGTGGAGGGCAGAGAGGGCCCCACGGTGGGTGAGGAAGCAGGGGGCTGGGAGAAGCCGGGGGAGGGGGATTAAGATGAGGACAGTCCTGGGATGGGAGGCTCCCGCGGAGTCCTCCCCCAGCTCTCTCCGTGGTCCCCACAGGAGCCCGGTGGGTCAGTGAGGGCACGGATTAGTGGCAGGTAGTGCAGTCGGGAAGCTGGGGTTTGGGGAGGTGGAGTGGCTTGTCAGTGTGGTTGGGACCTGGCCACCAGGCTCCCCGGTGCCCCGAGGATGTTCTGAGAGGCCCAGGCTGTAGGCCAGGGGTGCCTCCCACACCCGGGGAGGGGAGGGGGCTGCAGAATGAGGGGGAGGCCCCGGCACTGCCAAAGGCCTCTCGCCAGTTCCCCTGGGAAGCCCGAGGCTGGTGTTGGGATGGGATGGGCCTCTGTCACCCCCTGGGACTGAGAGTCACGGGGCTCCCACAGGGAGGATCCTGCAGAAGGACGAGGGCCTCAACATACTCCTCAGCATCCCCGACTCAGCCAAGGTGGTGGCCTTCAAGCCGGAGCATCCCGGGCTCTGGTCCATCAAGGTAGGGGGCGCGGGTTTCCGGGCTGTGGGGGGCCCGGGGTCCTGGGAAGCTGAGGGCTGGGGCGTGGGGGTGCTGTGGGCACATCAGTAGAAGTGAAGGGTCACAGACAGAGGAGGGGTCGTCTGCTCTGCGCCGGTGAGAGGAAGCGCAGTGGTTTGGGTTCGTTAGGGGGTGTTTGTGGACTCGGAGGAATGGCGTGCGTGTCCTGAGGTGGGTCACAGAACCCTGTCCGGGGAGAAGGCACAAAGGAAGCCGGGGTGACCGTGGGGGAAGGCTTTGAGGGACAGCTCTGGCGGGCCGGGTTGGCTCTCCCGGAGCCGGGGTGCCGGGTCCAGGGCCCAGTGACGTGGGCGTGGGCTCCTGCTAGGTCATCAGCAGCGGCCGCCACTCGGTGAGGGTCACAGGCATCAGCGACATCAACTTCCGCGCCGGCTTCTCCACTCAGCCCTCCCTGGACCTCAACCACACCATCGAGTGGCCGCTGCAAGGTACGGCTCCTGAGGGAGCTGCCTCTGAGGCGGGCGTGCCTGTGGGAGACAGTGGGAGTGCTGGGGCCGACGGCGAGTGAGGGGCTGTGGGACGGGGGGCCCAGGCTGGGTTCCCACACCACAGGGCCACCCCCGGCCCGGGTGGCACCGTGGCCATTTTCCCCTTTAGAACACGCTCCCGGCCCCCACAGGCCTTCAGGACCCTGTGCTGCTCCCCGTACTACCGAGCTCACACCGTCCCCTTCTCCTTTGTCAAAACTTGTTTACTGGGAGCCCGGCTCCTCCCGCTTCCCGCTTTCACTCTGTGTGGAGCGGGAGTGCTGAGCCTCGGGGAACACTGGCTGGATGAACAGTGACATTTCAGGACCATGGACAGGATCAAGCCCCCTCGTACCTGGTCCCACCCTCGGTGTGAATTGTCACAGGGAAGGGGAGGGGAGGCAGCTGGTGAAGGAGGACTGAGCGGGCTGATCCCTGGCTGATTGATGGTAGACCTGGGGCTGCTTCTTGGGGAGGACCACAGAGCCCAGCACCTCCTCCTCGCCCTCCCTCTGCAGGGGTGCCCATCTCCCTGGTGATCAACTCCACGGGCCTG